GTTTAACTATAGTAAAATAAAAATAATTCAAAATAACTTAAGACATTCGTTGACCGATTAAAATATTCCACTTAATTCGAATTTAAAAATTGCAAAAAAATCAAGATAAGTAACTACGAAGACAAATAAAACCGCAACAAAATTTTAAATCGATTTCGCAATTATCCACGACATAGAACGTGCAATGAATGACAGCGGTATGTGACGAAGTTACCGGAGGACGGGCAGAACAGAAAATTTCGATACGTTTCGATAAAGTTTCGCGAAATAAGCGAAAAACGATATCGTGGCAGGGAAGCGAGGAAAATAAAAGCGATAGTCAAGGGAGAAACAAGATCAAAGTGTGTCTCGTGGATATAAAATCCGAAGTGTAGAGATAGATAAGTTGCAGGGATAAGGGTCAAGTTGAAAAGTTACACAGCACTTTGATACGTCGACTGTTAGCAGTGAGAAAAGGAAGGTCTAGAAGAGATAAGTTGGATAAGAAAAATGAGAAAGGTCATTGTATAACAAGAGAAAATCGGGGGAAACGATTGATCTCTTAATAAAAACACTGCACTTTGCGAAATAAAAGGAAATTCAAGGAATGGATGAAATTTTATATCGAAGCACGCGGAGGAAGAATTTTATGTCTTCAACGAGGACGCAAAATAACAAACTATTCCTTGGCATTTGCACAGTCGTAATTTTTTATTACGTCAATCAGGAACAATCATTTTTTACATCCTCGATTCGATAGAGGAATATTCTCTAAATCTTTCCTCGTTCGTGACAGAAAGGATATCAAGAATCTAGCAATTGATTCGCTGTATTTATTGCGATCAGCTTGCCTATTTTAAATTAATTGATTTCAAACTAATGCCATAACTAACCCCATAACTGCCTGACCCTATTAGCACAGAAGCATCGATCAGAATTTCAATAAAACACCATATCGATACCACGAAAAACAGCGGAAAGACGAAGACCAATAAAGAGAGAAGAAAAAGCACCCCCAGAGTCACCGACTCGAGAGAAATAATAAAATGTCGGAAAACGGGGACCAAGACGGTAAGACGAGCGGCGAAATAATAAATAACGTTGCGAAAAAGGAAGAATCGGTGAAATGACCAACAGCCAGCGTTAACCAGAGTAGGAAAGCGACAGGTAAGGACAGGGGTGGAAAGTGCAGCGGAAGACTGACTGGAGCGACAGAAGATTTAAAGCCGAGGATAAAAGGGTGTGCAAAGAAACGGCTGGCTACAAAGGGTGCTCGAAAAGCTTCATAATTTTCGTACAGCGACGAAAACAGCGGCGTCCATGCAAAAAATAGGGTCCAGGCTGAGGGCGCGAGAAACGGAAGGAAGGGCGAGTCCAGGGTGAAATAACAGGAAGAAGGGCGAAGAAGAGCCGGCGGGTGTGACAAAAAGAAGATCGAAGGGGAATAAGGGGGATGAAGGAGGGGTGGATTGTTGAATGGGGGATGAAGAAACGAGGAAGGGGGTGGTGAGTGGCGGTGGTGGCAGAAGAAGAGGAAATCGCAGGCTGCACACGGAGGATGCAGCTTATGGCCGTGGCTCGTGCTCGAAATGAAACATTCGCGTTATATTTTACGACACGGCACGGAACGAAGATCTTTTGGAAATTAATTAGAAGTCTCGCGTTCATCCTGACTAAGAGGTTATGTACCGGCCATGAATTAAGTTTTATCCCCGTTTCCACGGCCGGCGTCGTAACTGCCGCGGCTAACGAATGGGCCCGGCGAGTTTAAAAAATTGTTTAGCGCGAGATGAACGAACACGGTAAATCCATGGGGGTGGAGACGGTGGATGGAAGAGTGGCGAATTGCAGGGGAGAGGGCGAGTGGTAGGTAAACGACAGCGTGGTCCGCGACGAAGACGATTAATCAGAGCGGTAAACACGAGGCCAGAAGGAAATTAATTTGTATTCTTCGTCGATAGGAGAACGTTTTAATGGGACGTCTCTTTTTATGCGCCTGCCGCTGAGTGATGGCGGGAACGATGAAACTGATAAAAGTAGGATAATTGAAGCGATGGGGTGAACGGCGGTTTGGGGATACGTTTTGGGGAAAGTTTGACGCGTTAGAAATTCAATGGAGATTATTGATCCTTGCGCAGAGGCGAAGAAGAAAAAGAAGAAATGATTATAACAAAATTAAATTATTATCTATATCCGTAAAGATTGATTATCAATAAAAATAAAAAAAAGTAAAAATTGGATAATTAAATACTGGGATTCATTTTGGGGGGAAGTTTGGCGTGTTAGTCATTCAGTGGGGATTATTCATTCTTATGCAGAAGTGAAGAAGAAAGAGTTACTAAGAAATTAAATTATTATCTATATTTATAAAGATTGATTATTAATAGATATAAGTGAAAATTTATAGTCAATAAAATATTATGTAACAAAATTCGGATCAATTCTACTTCACACCGAATTTTCCAGGAATTTAAAAAATTTTGATACCGCAAGAATACGAAAAATAGTATAAAAATAACGTGAGATGACGTACCAACTGAACAACATAGAAATAAATAATGACGAGTTAGAGAGATACTACGTTAAAAATGTGTATTGCATAATAAAGAGAGCATCGTGATATTCTGTTTTCTCAATTGCTCCACAGCAATGTTATTTATTATTTCTGAGTCATTCCCTATATAAAAAGAAAAACCAGACACCGGAGATCAGTTTCGCGTGGAGCAACGTGTTTCTGTAGGGACTTATAACAAGTGACTGACAATGAGTGTGTAACTAAAAGTGTTCGTATCTTCACGTCTTGGGAAACAAAGAAGACTTTATGTTGCTTCCATAGCCTACTTATTAAACTACTTTACGGCTACTTTAAAAAGAAGAAAGAAGCCAAAACTTCCTCTCGTTGAAATTTCTCTCACTGATAGAACTTGATCACTTCCTCGACGAAACAAGTGAGATTATTAACGAGCTACTGTAAGCGAGCAGTTAAACGAGAACAGGTTGAACAAGTAGTTAAGTAACAATTTTGAGATTGAGAGTCAGAGTGATTCAAACAACGTATTTGCTAGTTTTCGACAGAGAAAAAGAATATCAGTGACCACCCGTTCCTTGTCTAGACATAGATTAATATTATGATTGGAAAATTTTTATTTCTCGAGGAACATTTATAAACAATACTGAATTTATTTGCACGCATCGAGAAATGTTTATTTTTCTATAGTTACAGAGGATTTGACTCAGCAGGCTTGGAGAACGTAAAATTTTGTGCGACGTGAGTTTTAATTTCCGTCTTGTCGAACATTAAAACTTGGTTGCTAATTTTTATAGTTGATTCTTTAAATAGGAACCTAAAACAGATCACCGAAAATACATTGCATCGAAGCGTAAATTACACGCAGCTTTAAACAAATTATAAACATTCTCGACAGAGCGTACGTTTATTTATCACTCGGAAAATTTTTCTGCCACTTAGGTGAAAAATGTAGGTTATCTCGCGAGTAATGCGAATGTTTCGCATCGACAATGACGTGGAAAATTATAGCAAGAATAAAATACTTAAAAAAAAAGCTAAAAACAGTAAAATACTTGGCTGTGGAAAAATGATAATAAACATGAATCCTCGGTACTTCCCTTTTCTTTTTCCCCCGTGTTGATTCATACTTACAAAAGAGAATAAAGAAAAGGAAATATAAATTAATTATTTATTCATATTATATATAAATATTATTATTATAAATATTTGTATATATATATATATATATATCGTATGCATATAAATATTCGTATTATTATAAATATATTATATAATACAATGATATAATTTCATACGATGAATATTTCAATTCTGTATACATTTCAAGTAACATGCTTACAAAATTTTTCTAATTCTTCACCAATCCACAATTTTCCAATTACCCAATTGCCCAATATTATCATAACTCATGGTAACATCCAAACCCAAATATTCCTTTCCCAATATCATCTACCAAAAGCAAGCTGTCTAAAAAAGAAATTAAAGAATTCTAGATGTTGCCTGTTGAAGCAACAAAATTCCAGGAACAGGGTAAAAAAATAATTTCCAAGACACGCAAGTTCCACCGAGCAATTCAGCCTAACCCAAAAATCGATAAATCCAAAGCGTCATCGCGTCAAACTTCCTCCTGTAAAAAGGCGAAAGACTGCAAACTGCATTACACAGACCGCGTAACGCCTGGCGCCATCTACTTTCTCGATCTTGGAGGTGCGAATAATCCCGAAATTGCGGCTTATCTCGAAAAAAGTTCGAACAGGAAATGGCAATCCGAGGCTAACTTTGCTCTCAGCTGGTTCATCTTGACCCGTCGCGGCGAATTAAACGGATTACGTCTAGCGGAACGAAGGACGAGGAACGAAAAAGGAAGGCGAAGAGGAGGAGGAAAAGAGGAGAAAAGAAAGGAAAAGGAGAGAAAAACGCGGCGACAGCGTGGTGGCGGGAAATCCTGCAAGAGGGAGGGACGACGGGTAGAAAGAGGCGCGT